GTAATAGTACTGGCAAAACCCTTACAGGCTACAAACACTTCACTATCTTGTACTAAAGCTTATAGAATAAAAGTTGTTTTGTGTTTATTTCTGCACAATTACAACATTTCTATTCAGTAGTTCTGCAACAAACCATTGTTTTATATCTTATGCTGAAGAAGGCAGACTACTGCTCTTCAAGAATCCCACTGTGTGCCTGTCTTGTCTTGCAGGCTTCTAAATCTAACCTTTAGTGCTAAAGAGAAGACAACAGCTACTGTTAGCCAGCAATTTGCAGAAAGAGGAAAAAAATTAGGTGAAGTGAGGCCATCTCTTATTTCACAATTGATCAAGATTATGCCTTCAGAAAGTTTTCAGTCTATTTAGATACGATGTAATAAACAGGACTGCAAAATACAGACCCTGAAAAAGCTTGTACAACTTTGCAGTAAAATCTGTAAAGTTGGAAATCCTATTAATTTTTCTTCAGAAATGAAGTAGTGAGAGTGAATACAATTTAGGAGAAGAAAACACAATAAGGGAACAAAGAAAAGCAGAAAACTACTGAAGAAGAGAGAAAGTTTATAATTTTGCTTGAAGAAGTAAACACAAAGGAAGAATAGAACATTATTTTAAAGGATAGAAGAGAGAGACTGATACACATTGCATTTGACAGAAAACAAACAAAAAAAAGACACTAGAAAGGACAAACTAAACTCATAGAACTTCTAACCTTTTTCCTGGGTATTCACTCCACTCTAGGTAACAGCAATAACCAGGCAAGAGCAGCAGTAGCTTCTTTTATCTAGAGGCTTCGGTATCCTTTGGGAAACCACTCATCAAAATCAGCGGGGGACCATTTGCAAGTGGATCAGGTTTAGAGTTTGGTTCAGATAAACAGTGATGAAACAGTTGCACAAATATTAAAAATTCTAAAGAAAATTTATAGCTAAAGATATCAGCTAGCAAGTTGAGGGCTGAGAGAGAGGGGTGAACTCCAAAGAAAAATCAGGAATGTTAATAGTTGTAGACAGTGCAAGAAACTCTACAAAAAAGCAGCAGGAGAGCAGAAATGCAATCATGGACAGGTCTGAGGAGGAGCCATGTTAAATTAAAATGGTGCAGAAAAACAGCAGCATAGTTACAAGTTGAAGGATGAATTAAGACAGCAAGGCGGGAGGTTATGTGCCTGATGGGACATCTGCGTGAACGCCAAAGATAGTAATTTTAGGAGTGGGACACATCAAGTAGATACGGTGGTGCGGGGTGACAGCCACATAGAGAGAAAGCAGGAGTAGTGGGTATTGAAAGAAAAAAAAAGGTTTTAACAGTTTTCCAACTATTCTGTGCCAGAGGTGAACAAACAGCATAAGTAATAAAGCTACAACTTTCAAAATAACTTTAACAACCAAAACAAAAGCTTAATAAATAAGAATTTTTTTTATTGATAGTGGTCAGTGTCAAGGGCACCAATAGGTCTAATTGTCCTGACCAGTCTCACCTGGGACCCAACCACACCTCTCTGCTCCTTGGTCCAGGAGCTCCATTTAAGCTCAGGACTGAACACATCTATTTCTCCTAAGGTATGGGTAGACTAGTCTTTAGCCCTGTTTTTAGCCTTACCTCTTGGATGCACCTTGCTTCTGTGTTGTAGCTTACTTCTAGTCCAGTCTTCTACAGCACCTGGATGAACCCTGTTGCTACCCTCAGGCTCTGCCTGCCCTGCTCAGGTACTGTAGGGCTGTGTCACATAAATGCTAGGATCACTCTCAGCTCCTTGTACAGCCATGTTTGTGCTCTTCTCTGATGTTTGGCCACAATGGCACCATTGTGGGGTTTTGGTGTTTTCCAATAATTATATTTTTTACTGTATTTCTTTATACTATGACTAAAAACAGCACAGTGGGAAATTTTTACTACACTTAAAGTAAATACTGGGAGGAATTTTTAAAGGTTTAATGTTCAGAGTAGAGGCAGATGACCTAGTGGTAAAATGAGACCTATCTGCAATAGAGTTTTCACCAATTGCAAAAAGCTTGGTAATTAAAGCACCTTTCAGAATAAAGAAGCCCTTCTGTACAAGCTTAAGTTGCAATAATAGCTGTTCCTAGATGATGCTGTGCTGGTAATGAAAGTCAATCTGTGTATCAGAAGTGAGAACACAAAACAATGTCTTCCGAAAGAGACAGAGGAATAAAAGGACATGTAGTGATCAGAAAAGGAAAACTGAACTTAATAGGGTGAAATCGGAGATAAATCTTGAAAAAGCAACTGCTGTGAGTATAGCAAAGGCCTGCGCAAACTGGCACCATAATGGTTATCACTGGAATTCACTGCAGCCTGGAGTTTCTCACTCAGATATTAATTGTGACTGTTGCTGCTCTGCTTTAATAATACAAAAGGTCACCCTTATTTACCAAGTAGCAAACTGGATCCAACATTTCGTAATAGCTAAGCTGTCAGCAGAATGAAAGACTCTGTATTTTATCTACAGATGTTATGGCATTACATTTTTCTGTTCATCCTCAAGCTCATCCTAAAGGTACAGCAATTTGTTTGTTGCAGGAAATGTTCATAATCCTTTGCATTCTCTACAGTATAACCAAGGAATGTATCTCATGCCTTAACAGATGTAGGCATTTAGCATTTTTTACAATTGGCTGTAGCTTTACAAATTGCAACCAGCTGATTCTTCTTAGGCCAACATCACTGCCCTAGAGTAAAGAGATGGGGGGGGAATTCAGAATTTCACTGAATTCATACAGACTGTCTACATTCTTGATAGTATATGCCAAAGCTCTCTTGTTAATTAGAGTATTTAAATACTGTTTGTTTACTGATTACTTGGACTGTAAAATATTGGGTGTTTCATGGTATCACTTTCTGGAGTTCTTCAGGTTCTGTGTGGTATCTCTGTTACTTGTCATGAAATAGTGAGAAATTTGGACTCATCTAGGGAAAAAGTGGCAAGATGTTCTTATGGCAAATAAAAAAAAAAAACATTAAGCTGAGTTTTCTGTAAGAAGACAATAGCAGTAGGAAGACAGGAGATCAGATTATCTTTGAGCCAGGAAGCTCTCAAGGACAGTGACACGAATGGATTCCCATCCTGAGAACAAGCCAGTACAGATATGAGGAGACCTAGCTGAGTGACATTGAGAAAACTCACTTGAAAAGTCAAAAGATTCTCTTGATAAAACAAAGGTTGCCATTGCCAGTACTGGAATCTGCAGATAGCAAAGGGTAATCAGTACCAGAATAAGCTCTGGTTTCAAGGCATGCATTACAATGCTTTATACTGTAAATAGGTTGCTATTGTACCTTTATTTTTTTAATCTGTCTTGCTCTTCACTGCTGATAGATGGCAGCAAATGACAAAAGATTTTCAGTCTATTCCTCTTTCTGTTCCTCTTTCTGTAGAATCCTCCTCTTTAAAAACAAAATGGTGCTGATTCCACACTAGCAAAATGTATGACCCCTGTAAAAAGGGTATGATTTAACATGTTATACAGTTAAAGTGAATGATGAAACTTTGTCCATTGTGTTCCTATTCCCTGTAATACTGGAAGTTTTCTGATCCTATGTGAACATTTTTGTTCTGCACTGAATCGAATGGTTGTTTCTCTAGTTAATTCATGTATCTCGGAAAAGCAATTTTTTTTTCTAGGTCTTCATCTATTTTTAACCTCCCTCTAGTCTTGAGATTCAAACATGTAAAGAACTCAGGTTATGCTGTGTTACTGTTAGGACATGAAGCAGTGTGTGGGATGGAATTGCCTAATGGAGAGAGCAAATAAAAATTATTACTTTTGAGTTTATTGTAAAGTCACAGTTAACCTGCCTTTATCTGTTGGTGAGTAAGGGAAGGCTGAGTTCATCTTCCAAGGTTGGTTAATGTTGCTTCTAGTGTAGAATTCTACCTAAAGACACTGAAGATTTTTTTGGAAAAAGCAAATACAGGAGGGGGGAGAGTTAAACTGCCAGCAGACATAGAACACTCCAGAGAAAAATTTTCATGGTGTTTGGTTGGAGGTTCACTCCACTAAACAACTGATTCCTGGCCTGTGGTTTTGCGCATGTAGCACCTACATAAAAGAAATAACATGCCAACACTTCTGAAAAGGGTTGCTAATGAGAACATGAGCACTAACAGATACCAGTGTGAGGGTCTGGTAAGTAATCGTTTGTGTGAGGTGAGCTTTTTATCTCCAAGGCCCAGTGCTCCAGCTGAGGAGTCCAGCCCCTTGCTGGCTTTGGTATTTGCCTCAGCACAGTGGTTGAACAGGGAAGAGAAAAGAGCTTTTAAAACTCCAGGTGAAAGCTGAAGTCACGTGGAGATGTGAGAAAAGGCAGTCATGCAGCCAGCCTTGCCAGGGAGGGATGCCCAAGATAAACTGGGGGTGGGAGAGTGTTGTATGTTGTAGCTTTCAACTACTTAACTTTCCACCTTATCAGTCAAAATTGCCTCAGTTCAGCCATGCGTGGAAAATACTTTTTTTGTTTCAATGATTCCTGTAAATGCCTGAAAGCGGCTAATGCTGGTTACCTGTGTGCTGGGTGCTCGAGGTGGGAAACCCAGCTGGGCGTATACACCTACTGCACGAGCCCTGAAAGAGGAGAGTCTCGTTCAGACCTTTGTTCTCTCAACGTACTTCTAATCTCAAATACAAGAAGGAATAACGCCTTTATGAGGCCTCAGCAAGTACCTCACCACACGCCGCTGGCGGCAGCTGCCGCAAAGGGGTGGTAGCCCGGCTGAGGCGGCGAAGGGCCGCGCCGGCCCTCAGAGGCGAGGTACTCCCCGAGTGGGCTCCTCCCGCCCCCAGTCAGGGGGGTCGTTTGGGGTGTCGTGCCCCGCCCGCCTGCCTCTGTGTGAGGCGGCCGCTTACGCGGGAAGCTTGAGCCTCGCGCGCTGCCGTCCGGACGCCGCCGGCCGGGGGAAGGCGGCGGCCCCCTTCGGCCGCGGCCCGGAGAGCAGCGTACTACGCGACGGCGGCTCTTCCTTCGCCCGCGCGGCCGCCATGTCTGCCCTAGCGAAGGCCTCCGGCGCGCTCAAATCGGTGGACTACGAAGTGTTCGGACGAGTGCAAGGTAAAGACGGGCGCTGGGCTGGGGGCGCGTGGGGAGGGGCGCCGCACTGAGGCGGCGGCTGCGGTGGCGCCAAGGGCGCGCCCTTGCGGCGGGCCGCGCATGCGCGCGGGGGCAAGTGAGGCGGGAGGGGGCTGAGGCGATGGCGTCGTGTGGGGGAGCGGGGCAGGGGCGGGAGCGGCCGCCGCCTCTTCGCCCCCAACGGGAAGTGGGGGAAAAAAAGGTTGTAAATATGCCCCGGCTGTAAGGCTCGCCCGGTTCCCTGGAGAGCACAGGCTGTGCTGTCAAAAGCACTTGCCGTTAGCCGCGTTTATGCTCGCGTCTTCTGTCAGCGCGGTTGTGTGGGAATGCCTCCCCGCCCCCGCCGGGTTGGCAGCAAACCTCTAACGTGAAAATTAAGTCAAATGCAATTCGCATACAGCAGCGTCTTCATTAAAGAAAGCTACATGAGCTAACTGCGTTAATGAAAATAATCGGTTGTCGAAGGGAAGACTCAAGGCCAGCTTGTACCCGAATTCTGTAGAGTTTGCCCAACGTTAAAATTCATAACTGCTGTCCAAAATTTCTGTAAGAAAAGACCCCAGATGACTTGTATGCAGTTTACTGTAACTATATGAAGTGAAATTCCTAGAAGTGGTATTCTTTCAAATTATTTTAATGTCTTTTTCTTTCTTTTCTAGGTGTTTGTTTCAGGATGGTAAGGCAATGTCTAATTTACCAGTTCTATTTTACAGGATAGTATTTCCAGTGCTAAAAATACGGCAGCAGGTCTGTAGAGTATAAACATATCCAACCTGAACTTTGAGTTCTAGGTTAGATGGTTAAGTATTGCAAGTGGATTTAAAAGGAAAAAATATTTGGTTTATATTACTGTTATATTAAAATGGATTTTTAAAAGCTCACTAATGTGTTGCTTGTTTGCATACTATCTAAAGATTGTGTTTGGATTACTTGTGATAAAACAGCCACAAGAGCATTATAACATGTTAATCTCTAGATTCTTGATAATGGCTTCTGAAACAGTGTGTTCCAGTTTAATTTTTTTTTTAATGGCAATTGTACCCATATTTAAGGAAGCTTATTGTGTTTCCTTGTAACAATGTGCTACAAACACACAGTCTATGGCTCGTATTCCAGCCAAATGTCTCCCCAGCTCTGAACATGCAGCAGGTAGTTTTGCATTTCACAGAAACCCAAGAAGCAAGAGGACACATTTCAAATAAGAACAGTTCTTTGCCTGAAAATAGTGGACCGTGCTTAATATTAGACCTGAAAGTTTTTATGTGTAGTTTATATGTATTGTGAAATAGTGAAAAATTGAAATGGATAGAGAATTATGATATAGTATGCCTTGAATTTAATTCTTCTATCAAGTGGAAAAGGTATGCCCACACATTATGTGGTGGGCAGGTGCAAGCTTGCTCTGCCTTGTTTTGAGCTGACCTGGAGCTGTGCGCACACACACCACAGTGCCAGTACTGAGCTAATAAGCAGCATTGAGAAACAGGTTGTCAGCTGCATTCCCATGCTTTTGGACAAGTTCCTATGGAGAAGCTATTCACAATCAACTTGAAAAATACTCTTTGTGATTAGCAACACCTTTTCATTGCCTAGATTACCCCAAAATTTGTTTCATCTTTTGGAGTGTAGTCATATTGACCTGCAGTTTGGCTGTTGACATTAGAGTAAGTGTGTAAAGAGGCTGATAATGCAGTGCACAGATTTAGTATCTGTGTACTTTTTGGGTATTACTGCACATACTCTAAAATGTTTGGCTATTTCCCATCAAAATGTATTGAAAACTCTCAGATCTTATTGTTGGAGCCATGAGTCTGTTGATGTTCTGTAATACAAAATAAAAACATGGGCCACGTAGTCTTATACCTCTTTACTAGATGTGCAAGAAGCAAAACAGAGGATGTACCTTTAATATAAATAAATTTGCTATTGATAAAATGAAGTACTGTGTATTGGCTAATAGTGTTTTTATTGTCCTATATGGAACAAAAATTTAATGGATTTCTGCAAAACAGGTGTTCAGTTCCCTACCATTTCAGTGTTCAGAGACAAAATATGAAAACCATGCATATGTTTCATATGTACATGAAAGACAGAAAATGAGAAAGTTTAAAAAATAAAACAAAAATCCCAAACCGGAAGAAAAAATCTCAGAAAACAGGGTACTCAGAAGAAGTGAATAACTGGGAAACCACAATTTGTTGTAGTATTGCAAAAATACTAGAAAACCAGTATAATTATGTTATGACCCTTGCAGCAATTTGTTAGTAGTAATGCAGCAGCTAGGGGTAGAATTTAGGGAGTGAAAGTCAGGTGGCAAAGATTTAAAATGAAACTGGAGAAAAGGAACTATGAAGCTTGTACATGTAGCAAATTTAATGATTTTGAACATGTGATTGAAGAGGCAAATGAGCAGTGATAGGAGCTATAGAAAGGAATAGAGTAGGTATAAGGGAGTGGTGTGGGATTAGTAGAGTCCTTTGTGATCAAAGCTGTGTTAAGTTCCTTAAATAAGGGGAGCAAGTCTTTGGCCTCCCTGTCTGAAAAAAGTCATCACACCATCAGAAGGTTTCTATGTATGTACGTATGATAAAGCAAAGAGGAAGATGACTTTTATTACGAGCAGTGTAGTGTCTCAGTGGGAGCCATCATATCTATAGGGGTTTTTTTGAAGAAAAGTATTAAAAGCTGTGAAAATGGAAGTGGGAATTAACTCATGCGTTTATTACCTATATGTAAAATCTCATTCTTGTTCAAAAGCTGGCTGCTTCTGCTGCAACTTCAGAGCTGACAGGAGTATCTTAATGCCTGAGTATAAGTATCATCCATGGATTTTTTTCTTAAGTGTAGGTATTAAAGCTATGAAAATGAAAGTAGGGTTTTAAGTGGTATGCATGTGGTGTATGTGCTGACACTGATTGTCCTTTTTCATTATTTTTTCAAATCAGTACACAGAAGAGGAAGCTAGGAAATTAGGAGTGGTTGGCTGGGTTAAAAATACCAGTCAAGGAACTGTAACGGGCCAAGTTCAGGGCCCAGAAGATAAAGTAAATGCGATGTAAGTATTTTTGTGGGGTTTTTTTTAGTCTTATTAAAGTAATTTACAGAAACATTTTTCATCCAAAGTGACAAGTACATTCATATGTCAGTAATGTAACAGTACTTTCAGTAATCAGTTTTGGTTTTGAGGAGATACATTCTTTTAAGCCGTAGAAAAGTCTTTAAGGTTTAAAAATAGTGTGTGGCATTAGCCAGTTTTAATTTCTAATGTCACACAGTTTGTCAGTGTATTTCCCTAACATACTCTTATCTTGTGAAATGAAGAGGAAGCCTTTATTCATACATGTGAGCACGGATCTGGTTAATTCTTCAAAACATCTCTGTAAAGAAACACACTGAAAAATTTCTTGAAATGCTTGTTCAGCCTGTGCTTAATTTAATGGAAACTGAGTTTAAGTATGACTTTTTTTCCCCCGATTAAAAAAAAAATAAAATACACATTTCAGTAAAGGCCTGTAGTCTCTACCATCTGTAAATAAATTTTGAAATATTTTGGTGTCTTTAAAGGAATGGGTATTATTTTCTTTATTAAACTGCCAATTTCCAAATGCTTACAGCTATCACTCTGAGGAAATGATGCCTGGAAAAGCACAAAGCCCAATTCAGTTGCTTCCAACTATCATTTTTTGCAAGTGTATATAGGGAGATTGTTGGGAGTTTTTAAAAATCCTTCAGTGGTTTGTTCTCTCAACAAAGAATGAGTGATGTTAAAACTTTCCTTCGTAAGCTTTAATATGGATGGGCAATTATTAGTGCAAATTCTGCCAGCGCTTTCCAATACAGGAATTGCTTCAAAACTGAACTTAGATACTAAGTGAAGTTGGCTTTTTTGCAGAGAAAGTAGTGTTACACTCTCTGGTAAAGAGATTTATATATGATTATTGAATGTGACAGAAGTATTTGTAGTAATTTTCTTTGGTCTTGAGCTTAACATTCGGTTGCTTATCTTGGGCTGCAAAACATTTACAAAGCCAGAGAAACATCAGTTGTTTGTTTCATAGGTCAAGTTTATACTTGTGTTCTGGAAGACTTTTGCCCTATCTAAGTATTTTGTAAATTTGGTAACTTGGTGCCACCTCTCTAGTTAATTTAGAACACCTAAAATGAATGTGTGAGAAATTGGGATTTGGTTTCTATTTGTTGGAGTACTTTTTCATTTAAAAATTTCTAGTCCATTGATTTATTCTCATGAAGCAGGTTTAAGTGAAAGCACAGCTTAGCTCCTGATATTTCTTGTATTTGCATGAACTAGGATTGCTGCAGAATGCAGTGTTTTCTTCTATCCTTTTCCCCTTCCCCATTATCTGTGTCAGTAGGTTTCAAAGGAAACAGTGCTTACCCCAATGCCAGAAAGTTTGTGTGTAATAGGGGATCTGGCAGTACAGCTGCAAAATTAGACTAACAAGGCTAGGTTTTTTCTCAAAGATATGTGCAGACTATTCCAAAAGGAAGTAAAAGTTTTAATTTTTCATTGTTACACAATTTTAAGTAGGGTCAGCAAGCTGGATTGTGACCAAAAAAAAAAAAGTTGAAGCTTTTGATGTACATTGTGTTGCCACTGCTTCATTTCATGCTGGAAATCAATCCCACTCTGATGTGGGAATAATGTTGCAATACTGAAGTTGAAGTATGATTTTGAAGTATGCATTGAGATCTGATTATTAAATTGGAGATCCTAGAGTAGAATGCTGAAGGAGAAACTTCACTTTTCCTTGCTGCCTGTGTGCACTCTGATATAGTGAAAAGATAATGAGTTTATTTTTGGCATTCATTCGGTGAACTTGCACATGGAAAGGGAGCTCTTGTATATGAACAGCTACAGGCCCTTATTTCCTTCTGCTAGTACATGTTAATAGGAGATTAAAATAGGTTTGCGTTTTTGAAGTTTTTTGCAGAGCTTATAGCATTTTTTGTAATGCTCAGTCATGCTTCCTAGGAATTCATAATACTGTGTTCTAGGTTGAAGTGTTATTTAAAATACTATATTAAATAAAAATCTGAGGCTTGCTTCTGCTATGGCAAATTAGTATTAACCAGTAATCCTAAACATACATTTGTAATCAAACTGTGATAAATAATCAGGAGAAAATTCTGGCACCAGCTTCCTATGCAAGCTCTTGTTTGTATTTGCTAGATATTCAGAACTTAAGAGACTGTATGTGTATCACACTTAAAAATTTGGAGATCTCATGTGTTCAAAGAAATTGAACACTTTTCAGAGAAATACAGTACATGAATCAATATTGTAAGATATTTCAAGAAAGGTTCCTGTTGAGTGCTATTTCAAATATTGGGACAATCTGTTACCTTATAGAAATCTTTCAAGAATAGTTTGTTCAGTGTCTTTTGGACAGGTATTTTCATACTTGCGTTAATTTTCCAAATTAAACTTTAGGCACAAAATAGCCTGATTTTCAGAGGTACAGCACCTGGACTTTTAAAAATCATATATTAATGGTAATAAAATGATTTGTCAGTTGTTTTACTGGTTCTGGCTTGTTAATGTTAGTATTTTTTTAGGGGGAGATGGAAGGGGTGTTTTGGTTTATCATAAGCTATTGTTTGTTTTTTCATGATGCTAAATAGAATCATGAACATAGACTAAAAAGAGAGTAGGGATGCCATGAGAAAGTACAGTTCTAGAACAGGTAAACAGAAAAAGCAATATGGGGGGGAGGAAAAGAGGAATAAGGGTTCGAGAGGAGGATAAAGACAGGGAAAGTATAGAAAATGTGGGAAAAACACCATGAGGCAATTCAATGTTACCAGAAGCATGGAGTGAATAACAAAGCATGCCTTTGTTCTGGAGCAGTAAAGCGGCAGACCTCTAACCCAACGGTTTTCCAGCACCAGTCTTTTGCTCCTGATTTTCTGACCCTTTTTATTCTATTTTGTATCACTGCTTGTATTGTGAGGCACAGCTAGGAAGCATCCAGTACAGGCTCAAGAAACAATGCCTTTATATGATTTTTTTTTTCATGTAGGCTGCAAGGTAAAATACAATCTGGGAGGAATTATGAAGATGGTCCTGGTGATCTATTTTAAGCATTATTGTAATGCATGCATGGAGTTTAGATGGAGAGTGACCAGAACCAGTATAAAGTGGAGAACATAAGCTTTAAAGCAGGAGAGTTTGAGATATGACTATCCACCCATTCTTAAAACTCTCTAGTGAAGTGAGAGCATGTTAGAGAAGATGCCTTTTGAAAATCAGTAGACCAGGCAACCAATGATCTTTGGAGAGTCTTAGGTAGTCAAATACAACTTTATTGCATTAGAACTGAGGGTTTAGGTGTGGGAAGGCAGCCAGAGGCTATGTGTCTACTGCTGCAGATGCAGCACAGAGGAGCGTTTGCTAATGCAGGCAGTGGTCTGCGGCTTTTGTTCCTACCCATCTTGCCAGCAAAAAGAACTGGCCTTTTTTACCTGAGCCTGGTGTAGTTTCTTAAGCAGAATGCTGAAGCCTGGATTTTGTCCTAAAGTATGGAAGTAATTGTTTCTCTGCAGACATAAAATATGGTTATGATGAATTACTTTGAAAGATGAAATGCAAAATGGAGTTTCCTCTGGAGCATGTAACAACTTAGCAGGGGCATTCTGACTTTTGCAGAAATGAGTGGAAATTGGTAGGTAAGTATGAAGGATTGGGGCCTGAAAAGTGTTGTATGTAGAGGAAGTTTAGTTCCTTACTGGACCATTCACTTTGTGTTGAATATGGGTCTAAGTTTTTGATTTACGTTCTGTGTGGTGAAATCTTGACCACATTGAAAACTGGCAAAATCTACTGACTTCCCTGAGGCTAGGATTTCAGTGTGAATTTCACTGAAATTCAAGAAGCTTGAGGTATGAATGAGAAGGTTTTGATTTTTAGATATTTTCATTTCAAGATTTGTCTTAAATTTGTTTTAATGAAAAACTTTGAGATTCTCAAAGATCAGGTGACTTTAAGTAAAAGTGTGTTTTGAAGCCAGTTTTTCATTTTAATTGGGAGATCTTGCAGACCATTTTAGAGGGTATTTTTAAGAAGACTTGAGAACCTTTTACCTGGAAGCTTGCTTTAATAGCCTTTGCTTTTTAACCTCTAGATGGAGCTGTTTGGTCTGTAGATACTTTCAACTATACATGCTTCATTTGAAGTGTATCTATTTTTAGACTCTTATGGTAGAATCCATCTTTTTCTTCACTACCTCTTTCCCTACTGTATTTTAGAGTCCTGTTCTATTTGCTGGTACTGTGCCACATAGATAACACCCATTATCCTTAGATACTGAAAGCTCATATTCAGTCTTTTGCCTGTTTGTAAGCCAAAGAATACTGAAGTCACAAGAAAAGCCGAGTTGCAGCATTTCTAAAACATAATGGCATAAGGTTTTATGGTAAACTGAAGGCTTTTTTGCCAGCCCAGGTATTGTTAAATGGAGTAGAGGAGGTAGCCCTTTGGTTTCTTTTTTTCAGGAAGACTTATAGTACAGGGTTTTCATTATAGTGTCTTGTAATATTTTTTCCATTTTATTCATTAAATAAGGTTAGAGCTGTTGTAGTCATTGTAGTTGTTGCCATAGCAACTTGCATTGACAAGCTAGAAATCACTTTCCTATGAGAATTTTTGAACTTTGAATGATGACATATTAGTTAGCCATTAAAAAAGGAAGAGAAGACTCTTGCAGATTGCCAAGTTCAGAATTTATTCCAAAAATCAAAGATTTCAAATCAGGTTGACACTTTAAAATGTGAAATCTTACAACATTTTTTAGACACAAGTAGTATATAACAGCATAGTAAGTATTCTTCCTGTCTTTGTAGAAAGGCATGATATTAAATATAGATTGCTTGTCTTGGAAATTGTTCTTAATTAGTAAATTAATGCTAATTTAATTTGAATGTTTTACCTTTTAATATCAACATCAGTTAAGAAGAATTGATATTAAATATATAAATGACACAAGACTTGAAAATTACTTCAGTGTGTATCTGCATAGAAAAATCTAGATTTTTCTA